TATTGTTCCGTGGGATCTTTTAACGTTATTAGATATAATGAATGTTGGGAGAATATATAGTTCTTTTTCTTGTCTCTTTAGAACATTATTAAGATAGGTTTGATTAATTATACTTGAGTATTGTTGGTATGGATATGGAAGGTTCTAACTTGACAATTAGTAGGGATAATTGGAAAGATGTAATTTGGGAAAATCAATGATGATACCTATGCAGATTGGCGTTGACATGGATGTAAAAACCTTATGTAATTTTAGGGATAAATGACTATGGTTATCCTAGTAATTAGTAGATCGTTATTATTTTGGGAATTATGAATAATGATTAAGACTATGATGACTAATTTGAAAAAATTGAGGAACATTGGTTTAATCATTGAGAGTTTTGTTGTACTTTTGATTATATCATAAGAAGCCTGGTGATAGGGAATTGAAAGATATTTTGGGATCCTTGATAGTCTATCTCCATATTTTGGTATATTACAAGATATATATTATAATGGATTGTATCATAGGGATTCGAAAGTATAAGTATCGTGAAAAGAGTTGTAATGTTAATGAAAGCTACTAAGCATTTGATTACATGGTTATTAATTCTACCTCAAGTTTAGAGATTGAGAATGAATACTTGGGAGATAGAAAATAATTGGCCTTAATTAATTTGATGAGCATGTAGAGTTATTGAGGGTGATCTAAAAGTATGAATCTGGATACAAATGAGGTATGAAGGGGATGGTAAGGCTTATTGAGTTGAGCTCAAGATTGGGGACTGAAAGCAAATATGTTGGAGATATAACTTGACACTTAGTCTAGTTATAATAGTTGGTCAATTACAAAAACCCCCCCTTTAAATGGATTTGATGGATCGTTAGTATACACATTGTGGAAGTTCTAAATTGAAAAACAAGTACAGTTAGATTTCAATTGTACACTTTGGGTGGAATCTGACATATCTTCTAAAAACTTTAAAGACATATAGGAATTCCTATCGTTTGGCTAGTCTTGATTTCTGAATTGGTGGATTATAATTTATATTAGAGTGCACAACGAATTACTTGAGTAATGATTACAATGGTGCAGGTAAGGAGTATGATGAGGAATTACAAATAGATGTGTNAGTTTGATATGAATCTCTATTGTTCCGTGGGATCTTTTAACGTTATTAGATATAATGAATGTTGGGAGAATATATAGTTCTTTTTCTTGTCTCTTTAGANGAATTTCTCTTGGCTAGTGAGAGAAACAAAGTCATTAAGAATATTGTATCTATTTCAAGAATGGATATGAATCTTACGGTGATATCATTAATAAATTTTGTATTACACCATGATGGTAGTATAGGAAAGATCAGCAATCCTAATAGCGGAATTGCATTTGAGTTATTTGGATATGCTTATGAATAAGCTACATGTAAGAAGCAAATATGAGGTTTATTGAAATGGTTGGTAAAATTCAAAAGAGAAGTGATATTTGATGAGTACAAAATTAAGTATTAGGATCAAGTAGTTATGCTTGATAAGAAATTAGTTGGAACAATCGCATGCAATTATTGAGAATAAATAATGGTTATTTTTGATGATGCACAAATCGGTATTGTGCAAAATCAACAGTTAAAAATATGTAACAGGTGTAGTTAATGAGCAATTAATAGGAAATTAATGGTAAAATAATAAATAAAGAAACAACACAGAGATTTATAATAGATCGGTTCGGGTGACCTACTCTACTCTCAGGAACGGTAGCAGTGGCCTGAGATGTTTTATTGACGAATAGAGTCTCCAGGAGTATTACAATGCTTGGGAGAGAGAGAGAGAGATATGTGTGAGGTCTGAATGTGTTTTTCTTCATGTGGAGAGGGCTCATATATATAGGCTTAGTGAGGTGGTGACGTGAGGGAGAAGACTTCTACTATTTTGGTAAGTATAATTATGGTAAGAATAGGCCTCCGTGTGTATCCCGATTTTCTCTCCTCATGCTTCAATTCTGACGGGAGGAGGATTGAGTTGGGTTGGACCTCCTGAGCAGCGTTGGACTTGAGTTGGAGTGGCAGAGTCAAGAGGGTGAAAGACTCCACAAGGTTGCGCAGGAAAGAGAGCGTGGGAGAAAGAAGGGTAAGGATCCCCTTGGGTGGTGCCCTTTGAGGTAGCCCCTTGGGATGTCCCTTGGATGGTGTCCCCTTTGAACTCATTCTTGACTTTGGCTTCCGTTAACTTGGGCTCCTACATGACTTGTTGACTTAGACTCCGAGATGACGTGGGTCTCTCTTGATTTGTTACACTTAGTCTAGTTAATTTCGAGCTCATCATTTGCCCCCCATGCCCCAAGCCTTTGAATTTTTGCAAGAGGAAGGAATTGTGGGCATGTGTTTTGTCTTCATCTGAGTGAGCAGGTGTTTTTTCATCAACTGAGTTTAGCAATATCAGATTTTTTTTTCTTGGGCACTGGCAATTTGGGTGTCGCCTCCTGCTTTTTTTTTTCCTTGGGCGCCGCCTCATGCTTTCATTTTTTTTTTCTTCTCTTGGCTTCCTTGGGCGCTGGTCTCTATATTGACTTCCTCCGTCTTTGTTCTCCTGTGTAGGTACGTGCAGAGGAGATACACGAAAGGTCCCTATGCGCTAAGGAGGGACTGTCGGACGAGGGACGCCCTGGCGTGGCCCTAGAATATTCTGGCGAGGGCCCCCATGGTGGCGGGCTATCTGGCAGCCAGAAGGGATAGGTTGTTGCTCCTCTCCCGTTGGAGGGAGTGAGATTCCTCCCATAGGGTGAAGGGTGATGCCCCCTTGGGTGAGCATCAGCTGAATGATCTGTTGGTTTTGGTTCACCAGAAGCTGCATGGTTTGGAGAAGTTATTGTCCGACGACCGAGGTTGTCGTAGTAGATGGTTCTAATGGTGCAAGGGGAGGCAAACCCTCCTCCTAATGGGCTAGGTTGTTGTCTCCCGGCTATTAGCTCATCGATCTAGTAATGATTGTCATGGATTAAAAGAGAGTAGAAAACTAGTCGTTTCCCACAGACGGCGTCAATCTGATGATGCACAAATCGGTATTGCACAAAATCAACAGTCAAGAATATGTAACAGATGTAGTTAATGAACAATTAATAGGCAATCAATGGTAAAGTAATAAATAAAGAAACAACAGAGAAATTTGTAGTGGTTCAGTTCGGGTAACCTACTCCACTCTCAGGAACGACAATGGTGGCCTGAAATGTTTTATTGATGAATAGAGTCTCCAGGAGAGTATGCTCCAGGAGTATTACAATGTTTAGGAGAGAGATAGACAATGTGCGTAGAGAGATATGTGTGAGGTCTGAATGTGTTTTTCTTCATATGGAGAGGGCTCATATATATAGGCTTAGTGAGGCGAGTGACGTGAGGGAGAAGACTTCTACTATTTTGGTAAGTATAATTATGGTAGGATTAGGTCTCCGTGCGTATCCCGATATTCTCTCCTCGTGCTCATATTCTTTTGGGAGGAGGATTTAGCTGGGTTGGACCTCCTAAATTGAATTAGACTTGAGTTAGAGTGACAGAGTGAAGATGGCGAAAGACTCTACAAGGTTGTGCAGGAGAGAGAACGTGGGACACAGGAGGGAAATAATCCCCTTGGGGTGGCCCCCCTTGGGATGTCCCTTTGATGGTGTCCCCTTTGGGTTCCTCATTGATTTTGACTTCCCTTAACTTGGGCTCCTCCTTGACTTGTTGACTTGAACTTTGAGATGACCTGGGTCTCTCTGGATTCGTTGAACTTGGCTTAGTTAATTTTAGGTTCATCAATTTCTAGTAATAAGATATATAAATTTCAATTAACTTAGTGTTGGATTATCATTAGTAATTTACTATGAGAATTAATATCATTTTTTATTTTTTTTAATAAAGAACTTAATCTTAGAAAAGATATTAATTTTAGAAAAAGAACTTCATTTTTGGGGATGACGGTAACTTCACGAAGGAGTTTCATTTTTGAGATTTTTATTCATTTTTTAGAATACCCAATAAGATACCATTGGATATGGATTTATGATATCTACTTTATTGGGAATTTCATGCCATTTTAGGAGCCTCACTTCAAGAAAAAACTTTTGCGCATCATAAAAGGCCTCTTCCACGAAGATAGTAATCTTCTTCTTGACTTGGAATAGTGAATAGTTGACTATCTAAATATGATAATCTAAGATTTAAGAATACGAATCTCATTCCCGATTATTTTCATCCAATCAGAACTTAAGTTCATGCATAAAACAATGCTATTTGGATCTAATTTCGAGACTCAATTGAAGACTCAATTCATTATAACTTTTGGATTAATAACGAATATCTTTATTTAAGAGAGTCCAATATTAAATTACCAGACACAATAGTTTAAGTTTTCAAATTAGATACTCAAATTAATCGACCAATGAATTTTTGATCTAATAATACTCATTTATTTGTGAAGAATTTATATTTTTGAAGTCAGGGGTTTAACTCTCCATCCCTTAAACAACAACAAAAATTAATTTTTAACATTTTTTTTTAGGTTACAAATGATCCATTTGCAAATGGACTAGGTGACATAACTTCTCTTCATCTCTAAGAAAATTTCTTGTACCCTTAATCACACTGCCCCAACCAGATCCGCAAGGCTGAGAAAATGATGAGTACCCACAACAATCTGAGTTTGACGAGGACAGACAGAACATCAGACGATGCGAGCGGATTCGGAGTGAGATTCACTTTACATTTCTTTCCATTTCACTTCGTAACGGATCAATAACCATTAATTCAAATGGTGCCCACAATACATAAATGTACCCTCCATTAATACGATATAAATCATGTAGGGAAATTGAGAGAATACAATAGAGCAGATTTAGATACAGGGAATTTTTCACCAAACGCTGAATCGGAGTATTCAGTGCGTGTCTGGGAGATAGTGTTAGAAGAACACGACATACTGAACAAATAAACTTAATATCACATAAAATCATTGAGAAAGAATAATTTTGGCAAATGAAGAGAATTTATTGAGACTAAACTGTTCAAGAACAATTCAAAACAGTACAAAGGCTTTCACTAATTTTACCAAATCAGAAGACTCCATATATACCCCTATAATACCTTGTCGTCGCCTTCTTACTTCTCTCAATTGTAATACAACACACACAACCACTCACCTCCATTAAAACACTACACATAAGGACAACAAAAGCATAAGAAAAAGGGAAGCATGAAGAGAAAGAGAAGAACCTTTCGAGGCATAGAAGTAGTAGTAAGGATAGGAGTAATTGCGTTGTCCAATACCAGGCGGCAACTGACCGGAAGGATTGAAGGGATAAACAGGAAGAGGAGGTGGTGGAGCCGTGCCCCATGAAAAATAAGATGGTGGTGGAGGTGGTAGTGATGCCGGTAGTTCTGGCGGTGGTGGTGGTGCCGGTAGTTCTGACGGTGGTGGTGAGTATAAATAGTAAGGTGGTGGCGGCGAGTGGTGGTGATGGTGGACCGGAGGCGATGGCGGTGGCTTTGGCTTTGACTCCTCCGATGGAGGTGGCGGTGAGCAAATGACGGGACATGTTGCACAATCACTAATGCATAGTAAACCTGTTACTGGTATGCCAGTTTGATCATCAGATGTTGCTGAAGAAAACATGATCAGCTCTATGATCCCCATCCTTAAGAGCAACACAAGGCATTTTCTTCTTAGAGATGCTCGACCCTTGGGACGTTCCATAACTCAAGTTTCGAATGTGGCAAAATATAATCAAATTCTTGATACTGTGGCCTTGTGACTCGAATTCTTGTTCTGCTTAGAAACTTTGAAGAGACAGAGCCACACCAAGCCTAAGAAAGATTTTATTACCTTCATTGGATCCATGACGTGTGTATGGCTCTTTCAATAGCTTGACGCAGATGCTTCTTTTTCAAACTATAAATGAAGTGTGGTCCTTTTTTACTTTATATTTCTTTCAGCTGATGGCGAGATTAATTGGGGCTGTGATTGATTTGATGTAAAGGGTGACAAGTAGGTCCACCCATTTAGCATTGGTCGATGCAACGTTGAAATTACATCTTCAAAATTAAGAGCGAAGATCTAATCAATATATATTTGGTCCATTTTACTTAAGAGTAGATTATAAATTGTTAATTTAAATAAGATCTATTATGTACAAATAAATCCCAACTTAAAAATGATGCATAATCTAGCCTTAAGTGAAATTTATAACAAACAAAGTATTGAATGATATATCAATGCTGGAGACTCTACCTATTCTAGCCCAAAGTGCCCTCCAGTACTTTGAAATAGGGAACAATTATGATATGTGGTGTACACTACATGTAGCAAAATTAAAGGGTTGCAATCACATGCTTTTGAATTATGGAATTTTATGCCGTATACTTAAAAAAAAAAAAATATTTTGGTATTTTATTGTCATTTATCATTTTTACAGATATTCTTATTAGTGTTATGGTATCAAAAAAAAGATTGTAAAAATAATTATTATAACAGTAATAAAAACGTTCACAAAAATAATAAATTGCCTACAAAAATAATAATTTTTTTGTAATAAATAAAAATAATTATCACAACAATAACAAAAACACTCACAAACATTATAAAACACCCACAAAAAAATTGTAATTTTTTTTTTGTTATAAAAAAAAAAATATATATATATATATATATATATATAAAAACTCATAAAAAATAATAAATTTTAAAGATCTGATATCAAATTTTTTTATTCAATACAATAATGAGGCCCTTGAATTATATATAACAGAGTACAGTGGTGTGTTTGAATAAAGGATAACTAAATTTACGTACATATTTTTCCCCTTTCGGTGATTATTGATGCTGAACGGATAAAGCACACAAAATTGGACCATCCTCATCAAGTCTCCATGGCATTTTCACACTAATACCATTTGTAACCAACGGCAAATATGTGTCATATTTACGACCCCAATATCAAGTCTCCAAGACAGTTTTTCCACTTATGCTCAATGGCGGAGCCACCCTTGGGCCCGGGTGGAAACAGTCCCCTTCAATTATTTTTCTACCCTTGGGCCCGGGTGTACACCCTATTCTTTTATTTTAGTAATTTTAATTTAAATAAAACCCTACATAAATAATTGTTAAAACATAATTTAAGAACTTATGCAATGTGACATTAAGTCTAATAATAAGTTTTAATATTTAATAAACTCTCCTATCTATCAAATGATCACAAATTATTGGGTCTCCACCAATTAAATATCAAATTAGATGTAACTAATATTATTGTAAATTTTTAGACACATTTCAAACATGTCTGAATATATTTTGAACATATTGAGTTACTTTGTAAATTTTTTAAATTGTAAGGTTATTTCATTATTGTATAAAAATATATATTGTTATGTAGTAAACTATAGGATCATAAATGAAAAATTGTTAATACCATGTAATATATAAAAAAAATATTGTTGATAAGATTGATTTGTAATGCTTTTGAAAAACATATAAGGGTCAATTTTAAGTGACAATAATTAGTTTTATTCTTGATAAGAAGTTTTAATTATTTTTTATTTGCTCATATTATGCACATCGATTTTTAATTTACGATGTTTATTGAACTTTTAAGTATTGAATATAATTTTAATAAATATGAATTTATGAACTTCTATGGTCAATTAAAAAAAATATTAAAACGTGATAATGTGTATTCCCTAATTTTTTTTATTGCCTTCGCCCCTACTTATGCTACTTTTATTAGATTGATCTGGGAAATTTCTTATCATAAATAATGTACCATATTTAAGAGGGGTAATGTTACACCAACTAGAAAATTAGCCAAAAAAGAAAAGAAAAGATTTTCATATCAAGTTTGGATCAAGTTATTAGTTCTGATATTAGAGACATATTGTTACTACCGACTAAATGTTCAACTGAGATTTAATAACGCATACTTGATCTGAGCCAATAACATTGAATAGGTAGTATTATCGAGGTATGATTGATAATAGTATACAAAATGGCAAGAGTATTTTTATAGGCTAAAGATTTAGGTATAGATATATAAAGTGTTTTTTTCTTTTTCAATTTAATACCACACATTAATCACTTATCTAAACATGATATTGGTATTAGAATAATGGATCTACACTTTATTCGAACCATGATTCAGAAATAATTTAATTGGGAAAGGATAAAGTGGTTGACCGATTACTACAATCTCATGATATAGGCGAACCAAACATGCCTTGGTGCCTATTTTTTATTCTAGCTTTTGGTCAAGTCTAACATTAATCATTTCAGAGAGTATAATATTTATAAGACCTATTTATCTAGGGGTGATGAATAAAGTCACTTGAACCAAAAAAAAAAAAAAAAACATTGTTCCAGGTTTCATGAATTTATGAAAACGGGTCCAAACGAACTTTATAATCCATTTTTCAGCTGATGAAATGATCAAAAGTCATCTGACACATATAAAGAACACAGTGCTTATGATGAATCAGATGTTTCGGAGTCATTAAACGCGTCATGTAGTTTCACTTTGGACTTTGGAATCATTTTCACTGGGATCAGAGAGAATCTAAAGCTTCATATATTGGGCAATTACATTATCATTCTGGTTGTCCTTTTCTCTGGACTCAATCCATCTTTCGGGGCATCAATTCTTCGTCGCTTTACAATTTACACACTTTATACATTCTTTTATATATGCTTTTCTTCTGGAGATGAACTTGTGAAGCACTTTTTTGATCTTTTGAGTCCAGCCAAAGAATACCATCTTCTATTGCAGGTTTCTAGGGACTTCATGTTTGAATTTGAAATCAAGTAGGGTCCAAATTAAACATGCACTCCGGCTACAAATATGGTTATATTTGTCCAGTCTTGCATTTGATCCTTGAGAGTGGTTGACATGATTTTAATCAAAAAAGTAGTTCGAACAGAGACACAGAGGGGAGTTTAAGTGCCCATTACTATCAACTTGTTAGAACTCCATCATAATGTGCGAGATAAGTATTATGATATTGAAAAAAAATTATGGTATCAATGCTCAAAGTGATTTGTATCCATAAATTTTTAAGTAATTCATTAATAACTGTTGGTCATAAGAATAATAAAATAATAGAATTTCACCCACGTCACATTTTCATTGGTTAAAATAGTGGTATAATACCAAAAAACTAATTTTCACTGCTGTAGTTGGATGCGCATCTAAATTTCTGATTTAATTTCTTTTGTTTTGGTTATATACCCTAATCCGAGCGAAGAGGGGGCAGTCTATTTCCACCAATCACCTTTTTGCATGTTGTGGTGATGTGCTGAGTACAGAAGATTGGTGATGTGTGTGGATGCAGAACTCTGGACTATATGATTGACAGTTTATACGGTTATGATGTGATCACTTATCAAATTGTAAAAGTAGAAAGTTGTAGAGATTAGGGACGTTTGTGTTGTCAGCCTAAGACGCTCCAATGCTCTCCTAATATGCTCAAGTAAATTTGGTCACCATTAAATACTTCCGGCCTCTTGCTTAGTGGAACTTTTCATCAATTATGCTCTTCTAACCTTCTGCACGGGTTGATTCTCAGCAATTAGTAAAGTAAAAAAACCAGGATGGATCACATCAAATTTCCTGCAACACCGAAAAGATTAGGAAAGGAGCTGGAGGATTCTCCAGCTTATCTCATTCGATGCTTAAGTCAATCGATGTATGGTTGAGAGCTTACAAAAGCTACGATTTTGTGTTTACTAACACTTGCATACCTAAGGCCTAATCCTTGGACTATTTATACATTGAGAGGGTGCTGATGTGGATTCCTTATAATGATATCTAAGTCGACAGGCCTAAAGCCTTTTGGCAGTGAATTGCTGACGTTGGTGCACGTGTATGGTAGGCAAGTTATGTCATTGGCTGGCTCATCCAAAAAAAAAAAAAAAATTTCTCCATCTTGTCGTAGGCGACTTTGAGTTGCACCTCTAATAGGATTAGGGATAGCCTATGGGCAGTAATGGTCAAAAATCGAATGATCACCCTGTTCGAGGTCAAGCATTAAATGATGGTACTCCTCAAGGTATCACCGATTGGTCCACGTGAGCAATAGTCATGCCCCTTTGTCAATTTTTCATGGGTTTTTATGCTAAGACAATGGTGTAGCCAACATTCCCGGTCCTTTGTCGAGTTAGTCAATTTGGTTGATGGCAATGGGTCCTAGTAATGCCAGGATGATAGTAACGTTCTCGAGCCCAAGAGGATATCCAACCTTGGAGAACTCTTGAGCTTGTTGTGATCATGCCTTGTTGGGCTATACCCGTTTAGGGGATGATATGTAAGAGGTGGTACCCATCTTGGCCCATGTTTCCTTTGCTGATAAGTCTGCTGAATTATGTACTATCAATAGCCCCCTAGCCTTTGGTTTTTGACGTCACGGTTCACATTGTGTGAGGGGATTGAAGACTTCCTCCACACGTCAGTCATTGGGAACCATTACTTCCAGATTAGACACCCATTTTTGAATTAACCTTAAATGCGGCCCTTCCATCAATAAGTGAAGTAATAATGACAATGACATAAATACCCAAGGGTCTTCATTCATTGGCTTTATTTGGAACTTTGAAATCTTCATGGAAATTATAAGATTGAGCTAGCATTGGTTGATCTAGGGGCAAGTGTTAATCTTCATACACTTTCTACAAGCAGCTAGGTCTAGGCGAACTTAAGCCTATGAGCATCACTTTGAAACTAGTTCCAGATTATGCATTGAATAAAAAGATTGGCTATGGCAAGATTTTACCCAT